ATATAATGTCCTTTGTCATTTTATTTTTGTTAATTTTCTTATTTTGATATAATTTTCATTTTATCCAGACATTTTTGGTTCCCATCAACTCCGGGTCATGAGGTGGAATTATCATTCTCACATCAGAGGTATCAATTAAGTGCGGCAAAATTCTCGAGTTATGCGATCTCGCATCTTTTAATCTAGCAAACTGTACGATTATCCGCATCGGCCTCCTCATCTAAGCAACTCGCACAACTACATCATGCACCTCCGCCAAGTTAAGTTTAACTGTGTCAAGTTAACTGCGTCACAACTATTTGCCGTACTTAGCATCGGGGGAAGTCATTTGTCTCTCTCGCTTCATTTGTCGTCATAGCCATGCATAGCATGCTGCTCTTGGCGTTTATTTGGCCAGCTGTTGTAGTCCAATTGGTTGCGTCATTTTTGTTAGGAGTAAATTCAGAGTATCACATGTTCTAGTTTTTAGTTTTGAGGTATACTGGGCACCACAACTCGGCATTTTAATAGCATGGTATAGGTAGCGAGGTGTTAATTCGAACAGCTGTGAGCACTGAGCTGTAGTTAAAAATGTTACGTCATTTCTATTTATCAGATCAGTAATTTAGATTTTTCCCCCTTACAATAAACAATAACAGAAATAAAACCGGAACCTACGCCAGAACTGACATTAAAGCACGTCGAATTCATTGCCAAGAACTTGTTTTTATTTGTAGGCATCTAAATATGTATGGATGACTATCGCTAAGTTTCTTGCGATTGATTGCACGGTATGCAAAAGAGAGCATGTCACTCTTTCCTTGGCACTTTTGGCCTTGAGTCTCCTTTTCTGGCGGGAACGATCATCTTTCAGCTGTAATAAAGAAAGAAATAGTATTGATAACTTTCCTGAAGCTAATAAAACCCAACGAACCTTTTTTCTTATTCTTCACTGCACCGATGGAGTCTGCGAGGCAAACCATATATGGGCATTCAAATGTTCGTGATCAGATATCTGTTAATTATAAGTCATTAGTCGAGCGTATTGTTTGATTGAGCTATATAAATATATAGACATCATAGAATAGAATCTTGGGACTAGTCGTAAGTTCTTTAACCTCGAACCTAACTCTGCCCAATTCTGATTGGTGGGTTTCTGTCACGTGCAATAGCATCTCGATTATGATCGACTGATGGCTGGTGGATACTCGAACGTTCGTGCACCACATTTCGGTTTGAAACTGGTCGGTTACCAGGGACCCCAGAGTAACTGGTAATCATTAGGGTTTAACGTGACGAAATACTGGCTCCTCATTGGAGAGAAATATCCTCGTAACCACCATTACAGCGTGTGATTGGCCGAGAGCGTTGATCACGTGTCTCTTGAAAGTCGGGTCAAATCAGAAACTTCAAATGCTGGCGGTTATACATTTATGGTAGCAGGTATCTACCATGAGGATGTTTGGAATTTCTTTGATGCAGTTATTATGGTATTCTGTTCATTTTAATTGTTCCTTTTTATTATTAACTGATAATTCCGGGATGATTTCATTTAATTGTAAATATATTCACCTTTCCGACAGGAATTTTCATTTGCGATCGATTGTGATTTTAACTACTGCAGCTAATCACCTTTTTCGAATCCCATGCAATTGATTATACACTATAACATATAATATACATAATATATGGTATAAACCATCGCGAAATTTTCAAAAATGTCAGTTCTATGGCTTTCAGGCCTTATATCCACCCACTTTAAACCTGATTACCAAAAACCCCAATTTACTGCGGGTTTTTCCGTTCCCCTAAGTCCGCAGTAAATCGTGGTTTTATTAATATAAAATTATTGTTCATGAAAAAACTTAAAACAGCGCAGAGTGTCTTTATTGATCCATTTTATTTTTACTTTCGACCGAGCGAACAAGCATCCGCCGTTTTACCGCAGATTACGACCGACAAAATCAGATACAACCCGATGATGTATTTTACATTTGAAACAGATAAATTCTAACTAAATCTCTGATCGTCACATCTCTTCATCATTTGTTCACACGATCTCGTTACCACTAGTTCACACTGTTTCTGTAATATACACTGTGTACACCACCTCTACACTGTGATAACAGTTCTTATAATTATCAGTTTTATCGGTTAATTCTCCCGTCCTCGTCTCGTTAAGAATGTCAGGTATTTATACGATGACAGAACGAGGGAATGTGGGACGAATCACAGGTCAAATGATCTCTGGTTTCATGACAGAAAAACGTAATGATAAGCTGTTGAAAACTTTAGGTTTCAAGGTGTTAGGGTATAAGGTTCCCGGTGACAGAGTGAGCTAAAACCCCTTCTCTTCCTCCACTCTCTCTCTTCCTCCACTCTCTCCCCCCTTCTCTCTCTCAGTCCTCTCTGGTCCCCTCTCTCTCCCTCTTCATTGTTTTGAAGGAGACTGATCTCCGAGAACAGGTACTCTTGGAGTTATATGGTTGTATATTAAGATTGGATGTTGCTATCTAAACGTAACACAGTTTCCGTAACACTTATGTTTTCTTCACATCCCTAACACATCGCTAACACATTATTATATATCCTGATATCTTTTATCTGGCTTCCCCATTTTCCTCGTCATTTACCCTCTTTAGTCACTGTCAACAATGAAATCGTCCCACCAATCCTAACGGCTACGCTGGATCACGGGACTCCAAATCCCTCCAATCAGAAGCCTTTCTTTATCACGGGACTCGAAAATCAGCCAATCAGAAGCCATTTTCCTTGGCCCGTGACGACATCAGCAGCCCCCGTGCTATTACAGCGGGAGAGTGGTTGGCACTAAATTTGGAACTTGTCATAGTCGGGCACACGTGTGGATTCTCCTTGCCAATAGCTGTTGAAACTGTTCCCAGGCACCCAATCAAAGCGCAGGATCTTCTTCTGTACACTCCGGGTTATGTCATGGCAGTTTTCCCAGGTCCCTCATTGTCAACTTTTCAACAAATTAAATTGTATTTTTGGGGTTTTTGTTTAAAAATGTGTACCTTGCGGAACCTCTTATCTCCTCTAGGATCATCGGCTCTATGCTGTAGACTATACTTCCCGACGGTCACCGTTTGTTCGGGTCCTCTTAGTGGTGCATTTTGCGTCACGTGACCTCTTATCAACCAATCAGGTTGACCCATTATTCTGAGTCTGCAATCCACGGATTCTGTCGGCCGTGACGGTCACTATGTTTCCGGAATCGACGTGGGTTTTCTGTAGTGATGTTGAGGGTTCACGTCTTCCTTGGTCACTCGTGCCCCATATTTTTAACATCCCTGGACTCGTGCCCCAGATTTTTAACATCCCTAAACTCGTGTCCCATATTTTTAGCATCCCTGGACTCGTGCCCCAGATTTTTAACATCCCTAGACTCGTTTCCCAGATTTTTAACATCCTTGGACTCGTGCCCCAGATTTTTAACATCCCTAGACTCGTGCCCCAGATTTGTAACATCCCTACACTCGTGTCCCAGATTTGTAACATCCCTAGACTCGTGTCCCAGATTTTTAACAACCCTGAATTCGCGCCCCAGATTTTTAACATCCCTGGATTCGTGCCCCAGATTTTTAACATCCTTGGACTCGTGCCCCAGATTTTTAGCATCATTGGACTCGTGCCCCAGATTTATAACAACCCTGCGGACTCGTGTCCCAGAAATTCTTACCTCAGTGACTGTTTGCCCCATGACTTTTGGCTCTTTGGCACGTGCTCACTGGTGTACAATTTCTGGGGCAAAAGGCTCTGCCGAGGATCTTAAAAGTTTATTAGTTTGCCTAATGTAATCATATCGTCGCTTATCAGAAAGTCTTGGATCTACATGGAATATAGTTATTGTTGAGTGTGGTTGGTGTGTTCGCTTGTTAATGAGAGGTGTGTAGTTACATTGTATCACCACACAATTCCGACTCAATTAACCTCACCCGAAAGTGTATCTTTGCCCCCATTAACCTCTTCTAACAACATCTCATTATCTGCACCCCGTTTAAAACTTGAGGTGCCCTTTGTCTGAAAAAGCTTGCTGGGTGATAACAAGAGTTGCTTCACACATCATGTGATAAAACAATAATGTGATTAGCCAATATAACGTAATTAACCAATTAGGTGCAGTGTTTCTGTGAGGTGATCAAACGGGTGTGTAATCCAGTTTTGTTAGTTATATACCTGTTGTGAGCTCAGTGTGAGCCAGTGACATTGTCAGATGAGTTGTGTTCGGATCTAACTTCATAGCTTTAGTTTTTATTTAGCTTTTATTTAGCTTTTATTTAGCTTTTATTTGGTTTTTATTTAGCTTTTATTTAGTTTTTATTTAGTTTTTATTTAGTTTTTATTTAGCTTTTATTTAGTTTTTATTTAGTTTTTATTTAGTTTTTTGTTCCATTTACTCGTGTTTATTTTCAGGTTATTCTGCTGTTTATCGTGTATGTGTACCTCGTTACGTAGCTTTCCTTGACTTTCGGCATGATGCAATGTTGATCAAGGAACTTATCTGTTTCGAGATATTTTGGTCAACAAAATGAATTAATTAAAGTGCAATTTCAGGATCAGTTTAATAACATTTTCAATCTGCTTCTCGAACATTACCTGGACACTCTAAATTCTGCCGAATTATTGTCCGCATGTTAATTTATGACATAAGTTAAAAATTGTTCTAAACAGTTCTTTTTTGTGTCAGATTTGCCGGTCTGGAGTACGCTGAAAAGTGAAAAAGCTTTTTTTTGCTGTGTTTTCTTAATGCTTCTCTCATGGAAGTTTTAAATTAAGTTGCTATGACTTTATTCTAAATCTTAGGGGATGGGCAAGCGATCGGACTGTCGGGATAAAATTGCTTGATCTAAATGGAACTGGGGCTGTTACTTTCATGAGAAAACTTAATGTTTGATTTTGAGCTTCTAATTATCGTACGTAGGTTAACGCCTTCTGTATTGATTGCAATAGTTTACAAATGATCCGTTACATTTAATAATTATCCGTTATATTCTCTAGCGATGTATCTAATCTTGGTGTTACTCTCCTACATCACAAGTGCAGTATTATCCTCAGACCCTTCAGGTTAGAGTCCTTTTTAATCTGACAAACAAAAAACAAGCAGATCAGTCTAAATACCATTTTAGCTTTCCAATAACTTTTGACTGACTTTTAGTAGGTATTTAGTTTATATTATCAGGTATTTAGTTTATATCAGTTCGAGTCTCAGTTATCATTTCATTGTATTTTGCAGAAGTTTTCATAACAGTTAACGAAGCGTACTTCACAACGAACAAAGTCATTAATATTAAGTCAGGTAAATGGGATGTCCAAAGAAAACTATTTGTTTATTAACATTTTTCTGGATTTAATACATATTAAATTTTGCATCGACATTTTTATAACCAATGTGATCAAAACTTTCAATTGATTAATTATTAATTATCTAATTACAGGAGAGAAGCTAAGTATAGACTGTGCTAGTTCGGTAATAGGGAGCGATGCAGTTAATTATAAATGGTATTTGAGCAAGAGACCTTACACTTCGCAAGTTAATCAGGTACTATTTCTTCTTCTTAAAAATACAATTCCCTCCCCATTCCCTCTTCTTTATCCACGTTATACAATGCTCCGAAAGTTCAGGCGCTTTTTACTTCCATTAACATACATGCTAGTGCTCCCGATGGCAAAATCTCGACTTATCGGGAACAAATAAATACTATTGTTGGTTTTTTACGTGAAAAGCAGAACTAACAAATTTCCTTCAATTGACTGTAACCCATTCACCAAATACTCCTTCTCAGCGATCTGAAGCATCTACCAGTAGAACATTTACCGTAGCAGCTAACTCCACCCATACGGGTTACTACATGTGCCTAATACAGTCCGAGGAAGGGTATGCCGTCTTCACTCCTGTCCTGCATGTCATTGTCGAATGTAAGTTTGTAGATAATACACCCCTCCTGGAAAAGCAAATTGTGATTGTATACTAAAATAATATAAGTTCAATTTGTTGCTGGCACATACCCACCAGCTAAATTTGCAATACGTATCCAACCGGAAACCTTTTTTGTTTCAATCTGCAAATGCATAAGCTTAAACAAACACTTCCCCCAGATTTCGATATAGAAACAGAATCAGCTAAAAAGACGATAGAGCCGAACGAGAAAGTGGCCGTTTTGAAGTGTTCCCAGATTAACGCTAACCCTGCTCCAATAGTCACGTGGAAAAAAGACGGTGTTGATGTCAGAAATATCAACCTGGACAGCAACGTCATGCATGTCACCGGCAAGGTATTGACTATTTCTCAATCTGTTTATTTAGGCTATTCAGTTGATCAGATTGAGTGATCGCACCGGTGGATCGTTATATATAATGTATTTATAAGTTTTTATCACCGCGGTTTACCTGATTGTAAAACAATTTTCTGACGACCGACGAAATATTCGGTAAGAATATTAATAGATAATAATTAATTTATTAGTTAAATAATTGATTAATTTTCGGATCAATTGAATCCCTTCGTCTGCAGGTAGTTGATAGGCAGTACAACATTGAAGTTAACGATCTGGTAATTCTAAACTATCAAGACAAATTTGCGGGAACGTACACTTGCGATGTAGAAGCTACTGGAACATTCTTCGAAGGGAGAACCTCTACCGCTAAGAGTTACATTGTCAAAACAGCTGGTACGTAGCCTTTAAAAGTTTTTAGAGTTTAAGGTGTTTTTAGAGTGCTTATAGGCTTTAAGCGGGGGACCAATCAGGCCAGTGAAATGAAAAACCGAAAATATCCACCAGCAGCTACGAGTTTTATTATCCACCTGTTGATTCACCAGATTATGACTGTATAGGTACAGACCACAACACTACTGTCCCACACATCGCAGTATATCTTGCGAACAATGCACCCGACGTGTGTGTCCCCACACGTAGGGAGGTGTAGGGTGGTGTAGGGTACATTGTGTCATGAGGCCTCTGTGTACCTCTCGTACTCTGCCCAGATAATAAACCCCCTGCCTGTGTGGGGGGGGGGGCTGGTGGGGGAGGAGTGACTGTTATATAGACTGTAAGAGTTTCGGGGAGTAGTATTGAGGGTATGTATTGTTTTTGAGATGAGTGATGAGCTTTCCGTTCTGTTATTACAAAACAGTTATTACAAAACTGTTGGCATATCTCCAAATAATCTCCTGAACATTTTCCTGAACTGAAACACCGGCCCGAAGACCTAAAACATTATGAACAAAATCACTCGCTTATAAACCCAAAAATGAAAAACCTTTTTAAATTTAGTGATATAATTTAATCCGGCCTTTTGGATGGGTAAAATTCTGAGACATTGTCATAGTACCTGTACAATAAATTTAGGATTTGATTAGGTAAAACAGCCGATGTGCCAGCAATTTAATTTCCTATATCAATATCTTACACCGGACAACTGTTACTATAAGACTATACTACAACCTATTACTTCCATGTGGGCCCATTTAATCAGATTAAACTTTTAAGAGCTCGTACGAGGGTCTGGAAGTGACACCTCAGTTTACAGATACAGTTCATTCGCTCTTTAATTACTGTGCTGGAACGAAAGTAGATATAGTCACGAACGAAGTAGATATAGCCACTCATTTGTAAACTGCCTCAGTTGTTTCTCTCTCTAAAATTTGTAATCAAGTTTGTGATCATTTGATATCATCATAGAATATCAAGCAACATGGATGATGTAAAAAACTTAGTCTGTGACTCAATGCGGTGATTATTCGTGGTCCAGTGGATGAATTGAGCGGGGGTCGCGCCAGAAGTTGCTATGGTAAAACGCGCCAGATGTTGCTACAGTAACACGCGCCAGATGTTGCTACAGTAACATGTGTAATTAGGAGTTTAATTCTAGTTCTGGAACTGGATAGCTGTAATTTTAAATTTGCCTCAGTATGGGATTGATTTTAATAATGGGGGCTTACCTCGAATATAGATCATGAATGATAGCGCATACATTTTTCTTACCAATAACAGCCTCTCTCTTGCAGCGTCATTCAGCCTGATGAACGATAACTCCTCACAAATCCTGTTTATCGACAACGGCGGTAAACCCAACGTTGGTGAAGCAATCACGTTGCGGTGTGGGGCATGTGGTTATCCCACACCTTCCTACGAATGGCACGACACCAACGACAAGAAACTTCAAACTAGCGATGTTTATGAGGTAATATTCCAAACACAAGGAAATTTAAAAAAATGTTTTCCAAACACAAGGAAACATTTAAAGTTGATATTTATCACTTGTTTCGTTTGTCACCGTGTTCTGTGATGTACCGCTGAGTTCGTGGTGTTTAAATCAGCTGACAATCAAGGCCACGTCATCGGCAATTTCATGGTCGTAACCATGGTAAATTTGAAAAAGCATTTATAATTTTCTATGAAACGTTTTTGAAATTTGTATGTTTCCATTTGTTATTCTGGTGTCCAAAATTCGTCCAGACAATTGCCGATGACGTTTTATGCAATGTTACTGCTGTTTATTGTTTCTCATTTTTATAGTAAAAGGTGGCTTACAATTAATTTTAAAGTCTTAGTAACGACTAAAACTTCCGGTCATTACATTACTTCAGCCCATATTTTCGTTCATAATAAAGCACATAAATAAAGTAAACTTGGCAGCACAACTTATGCAGTTGTTTATTGAATTATACTGATTGTTCTTGAGCCTAATAAGATCATATTCTAACAAGAGCACTGCATTCTCTAGATTAATTGTCGTTGTTTCTCCAAAACGGCGACACAATTAAAATAACTTAATTAATCTACATTTTCTCAAGAATAAATTATAAATATTCTTTTCGCACGATTGTTACCACGGTAACCACGACAAAGTAGCCGTGGTAACATTCCTGGCAGCACATTTTAAGACTGTTATACTTGCAGCGTCACAGTTCAAATAAGATCAGATATCAAAACGAATACGTTGAGGTAAATTTGTGTTTGGGGATATTATACATATTATGCTGCTGCGCTATATCGCTCTGTTGTCACTTTGTTCTTTGCAGCCGTGGAAAATCAGCTTGCTGTGCAGTTTTGATGACGTAATTTATTGTGATGACGTAATTGTTATGAACTAGCTTGATATAACGTCATATGAACTGCACATGGCTGATTTTCTATAGGTTTTGCTGTATTGTCAGATATCATGATCGATCTCTTTTTGTTGATTAAAACACACCACATATAAATCTTATTCTGCGAATCTGCACATCATAAAGTCGCCTCCTCCGCAAAAATTTGAAATCTTCACACATCATGATTGTTGATTATTTCCCGGTACGGGGGTAATTTTAAGATTTTGCCACACTTTAACCACTAACCACGTATCTTGATCTTGAGAACTTCTCACTTGCATTAAAGCATTAAGACCTGTACTATTTTTCCTTAGTTGTGCAATTCACCTTATTTGGAAAAGGAAATATTCATTCCATTAATCAAGAAATTCAACACTTTTGACAATTTATGAGTCGAGTTTGCTCGATTAGGTATTTTTTTAGCAAAGCTGAGCTGATTTTAAGCATCGTGTGCTGAGCCTACCACTGTTAGTTTTCAGGGTGGACCAAAATTAACGCAACTTCAATATGATCTCGATGTGATTTCACATGTTTTTTTGAATGCGTTAGTTTTGGTCCATCCTGCATTTCCTGATTTACCCTCTGGTTGGGCTGTCGCTGGATTAATAAAATGATTTTATTGTTGCTAATATTTTAGTATCGCTGAAAATTTATTTCGAAAATAAAATGAATTTGACCCTTCATATGCTATGGTACAAAAAGGTGCTCTTGAAAAACTATGATAATAATTATCTAATTAACCCGACTAATTGCAATAATTATCAAATAATCTAGGTTTTGGAAACGAGCATGATAGTGAAGAGTATAAAGGCAGTTGATGATGATGCTGAGTACAAGTGTGCGGCCCTCACCGCCACCAGCAAATCCGTGGAATCCATTCGTCTCACCTTGTCGGGTAGGCTTGATCGATTGAAGTTTAAGTAGGGACATTAGAGAATTTTTAGAGCTAAAATAGAGAACTTGAACGTTGAAATAGAGACCTCAAAAATAATAAACACCCTAAGAGTTGTATGTTTACTTGTTGATTACTTTAAATTAATTTAACCCCTTGCCATTTTAGACACAGTTCCTCGGTTCAACAGCACGATGGACAATTCCCAATACAACATACCTGGGGCCACTATAACGATAGACTTTGGTCTCAAAGTCAAAGGACAGATCGATATATCATGGAATGGTTCGTGGAGCCCTACTTCCTTTTTCTTCTCATAGCCTGCGCTTTATTCCTGGCCATTAAATGTTACTGATTCATCCTTTCTTCTCATTTTCCTTGTTTTGTTGTTGTCAGTTTTCTCACTGTTTCTTTGCAGGTCAAGGACTGGATAAGTTCCTTCTAAACTCAGATAACACGATGGCTAACCGAGGGAAACTTAATCTTGATAACGACAACAATGTATTGACAGTAGAAGTAAGTTGAATTAATTAATTAAATTTAACGATTCTAAAAAACAAACAAAAAAAGTACACACCTCTATAACCACTAGATAACATTTGTAGCTTTAGTTAAAGTTTTGATTTCAAGTGAGCTAATAAGTATCAAGTTATGTTATCATTTTAGTTAAATATTAACTTATTATTAGAGTAGAGATTCTTATTTCTAACAGAATCCTGTTTCTTTCAGAATATCCAGAAGAATTCGAGCGGTGTTTTCCAATGCATTGTTTACAACGAGGCTGGTATGGTCAGCCAATACAAAACAGTCATTATTCGAGGTGAGATTTCATTTTCCTTTTCTCGGGTTTATTTTTATTTTTGTATTGTTCCTACTTTTCAATCTGTAATTGATTAGCTAACTCGCTTTAATCCCATGGAGAAATGAATCAATTTATAAGATTGAGTATCAAATAATTAATCACGTAATAACACAATTAATCCCATCTTCCTAACCAGAGTCCCAGCCAGCCAAAGTGGCCCACACCACCGCTTCCACGCCTGACATCACTGTGAAAGGAAACGATATCCACTCAGTGAGAGGAGCTAACTTCACGATGCAATGTACGGGGTCCGGCAACCCAACCCCATCTGATATAAGTATCGACGTTCCAGACTCCACCAGCGCCATAGCATCCAGCCTGGTCAAAGTCAATAAGTAAGATTTAAAATCAAGCTACTTAAATGCAGGAAATTTCTCTTGTTATTGAAGTTGTTTCTTGCGACTGACACCTCGGGTAATAACACTAACGTCACAATAGTCGTCACCACAGGGAAGGAAGTATATCGGAAACCTGTTAATTGACAAGGTCACGGAGCAGTACGCCGGGGTGTACAAGTGTTGTTCACACAACTTTATCAAAGGTTAGTCACCCAACTCACTATCTTTAGCTGACCTAAAATTGTCGTGAAACTTCGCTGAACTATAGTTTTATCGTTGTTAAATGATTGCTTTATTAATCTCATTGTTTTATCAAGTACGTGACACCCGCTCCTGATCAGGTCTGAAAGAAACCGCTTGTGTTAGCATAACTCTAGCTGTGGAGGAAAGGGTCTCTGTAACCCAGCATTCTGAAGATACGGATTACACTTTAGTTATTGGCAATCAGGTTGGTTTACCGCCTACTCGATTGTATTTATATTTGCTCATAGTTTAGTACTTCGCCTAGCATTTTGCTCTTATTTGCTCATATCCGCTCATGTTTGCTCATGTTTGCTCATGTCTAAAAGCCAGTTACCCCCAGGTGTACGGAACCACAGGTTACCCTCTATCTGCCTCATGTAAAGCAACAGGGCTCCCCCGTCCCACCATATCCATGAAGCGCAATAACGACTGTGGAACAGTTTCTACTATCACTAAATCTAATGATATCGAGGTATGTGATTTATTTGCTCGGTCTATTTACTTTGCTATTTTTGATGTTTTTGGTTTTCATTTTGTGCTGTTCTAAATTGTCATTTGGGCACTATTTTTCACGTTGTCTCTGTTTTTGTAAATAGTAAAACAGGCCCTAAAATTATTAAACTTTAACACGCAATTTCAGCTTTTTGATAGCGTGGTAAGCTTCAGCATTAACTGCTGTGTTACGTCTTAATTGAAAACTACCAATTTGAAAACCTTAAAAACCTTTGGTCCATAAATTGTCCAAATAAACATCCATTCTAAAAAGACAATTATAATATCCAAGGATTCAAATTATCTTGTTGTTGAATTTTCGATTTTTGGCGGACGAATAGGTACTCTAAATATGAAAGTATTCGAGATAAGAAAATGTATTTTCAGCTAACTGACAGTGTGGTAAGATCAGAGCACATTCAAACTACTTATCTTAACTACTTATCTTTAATTATAAAGTTATAAATATTCTGAATATTCTGAATATTCTAAATATCCTGTATTTTCTAAATATTCTAAAACGTATTCTTTAATATATTCTTAATATTCTCCTCGCACTTTTCATGGCATATTATCTCGAAACCTCACATAGATTTTTCAGTCTTTTAAGAACCATACTACGGACCGTTGCATAACTTTTAGACTGACATTTCTAATTATCCTTATATACACCCTTTATCTGACTTGATGTGTAGGCAAAACACACCAAGCCTACTGTAGCATACAGTTCCAAATAGCATACCATAACAGGTTATCTAGGAAACTATATTATAACTTTATAATATACTAACTTTGTCTACTAATCAAAAGCACGTGACTCATGTTTGGATGGCCAGTATTAGAGTACAACCTAGCTATAAAATATTTCGACAGCACGTGTTACTTGAAGTCCTTTTGTTAATAAGAACATAGGAGAAATCTGTCTTGAAAACTTTACAAATTGTGATAGTAAAACTGAGCACACTTAGTTATATTATTACACTTGGTTACACTTAGTTACACTTGGTTACACTTAGTTACACTTGGTTACACTTAGTTACACTTAGTTACACTTAGTTACACTTGGTTGTGTAAGGAACCAACATTTTTTCAGCGCTTATTTTTCATATTTTAGTAACATATCCTTGTGTTTCAGATCATACAAGTGGACTACGCGAACGACACAGTTTGCAACACAGACTCATTCCAATGCTGTGGCAACAACACCATTCAAGGAACTAATTACAGTGACTGCTACGAAACTATTACCATCAGCTTTGGTTTGTGATTTTTTGCGATTTTTGATAAACTTCACTGACTTCAGAGGCATAGTGACTCCATCCAATCCCTAAATTTATTAACCTCTCAATAATCGCAAATACGTCTGAAGTTTATATTTAATTAGTAATCGCATGTAATGGGATATGATCTTCTCTTGAATATTGAAAATAACAACTCTCTCGTTCAGTTGATCAAGAGAAACCAAATGATGTCAAGATTGAAAACGTTGGTAACCTGGCCTCGGACGATTCCTCTCTCGTTTCCCTCATGGGTTAGTTATTTCAATATATCCTTATTTTCCAAATTTATATTCTTTGTTTTTATATTCTTCGTTTTTCTTGTTCATTCTATCCTATTACAAATGACCTCTTGTTCACTCTATCCTATTACAAATGGCCTCTTGTTCATTCTATCATATTACAAATGACCTCTTCAAACAGAGACGCTACAGTTAAAGTGCTCTGCTAAAAGTTTCCCCGAAAGTGAGTTTACGTGGGAGTATCGTAACTCAGATTCCACCTCCAACACCTTCCAACGACTAGAGTCTTCTAAATTCCAGACCAGTGAGACTAATTCAAAAGGTAGGTCCTCTTGACTTTTTAGTTTTTTTGCAATTGCTCTCTTTCTTATGTTGAGTGGTTCTTTTCCTGCTGGAACATTCGGCCTTCATCTAACAAGGATATAATTTGTGCAGGTTTTACATACAGCATGTTGAACACTATCATCTAACAAGGATATGATATCTGCAGGTTTTACATACAGCATGTTGAACACTATCGGGACGGCAGGTGACCTCTTCACGGGGAAAAACTACGAATTCCAGTGCACTGCAAAGAACATATTCGGAGAAACCAGTGTGATAAAATCAATTCAAATTACCAGCAGTAAGTTAAATAAAATGTATTTTGAAACAATGACTCAAAGTCAACGCTTTCTTCTGAGAACGCGTATCCTTTAAGTTTCATATCTATTTTGTAGGACTATTGTGTATATCACAGTGCTGGCAAGCACGACCGTTGCATTTATTGTGGGTATACTATGTTCCCCATTTGCTATTATACCCCCTTTACTATTATACCCCCTTTACTATTATACCCCTTTTACTATTATACCCCCTTTGGTACACGTTACAAGCCTCTTTTGTGCACGCGAAGCGTGCACTCCGGCCGGAGGCGGCGGCCGAAGGCCGCCGCCTCCGGCAGGAGTTTTCCAGGCATTAAGACTCATCGGAAGTCGTTCAGCAGATTTATTTTTAGTTCAAAACATTCTAATTTGATGTCAAAGATGACAGGAATAAAAAATAGTTATGTTCAGATTTTTAAGAAATTTGCATAAAATACTCGCCAGCACTGTTATACGAAATTCGGTAAAAAACCCAAAATCGCCATATTCAGGTGCCCTAAAAACCATGTTAAAATTGAGTTAGAGATCTGAAATTTTTCAGGGCGTCTAGACGTTGACCAAATTGACTGCAAAAAAAGTTTCAGGTTTCAGGAGCATCGGGAAATGGGTTTTCTAGAACCCCTGTTTTACGACAGATTGTCGGGACATATACATACATACAGATATACATATATATTCAGGGATAGACGCTTTGCCAGTCAATTGTAGCCTGTATTTAAGTGTCCATAGATTCAAAAGTATAAAAGATACAGCCATTTCCGACCACAGGTATTGCAAATAATTGTTTACACTTTAGTTTACATTGTATAAAAAATTATTTGACGTCATAAACACCCCTTGATGACGTCATCAAGTTAACCGTTTTTAAAACTTGATTTTTGACAAAGTAATAACTTTTAAAGTTAATTTTAACCCATTAAGGAGTAATTTTATTCAAAATCTGAGGAGATTTTCATCTTAGATAATTGTTCAAGCATTCTGAAAATCTACCGGAAAGTTTTTCTAGCTTGCTCCTTCATAAAGATATTTGTCATTGAAGTTTGTGCTTTTTTGAAGAATTATTTTATAAAAACGTCAATTTTGCGATTTAGTATTCTCTGGTGTTGGGCCATGCCTTGGGTTGTGGAGCTCAGTTCTGCTTCCTATAGGTATAAATTGTGCATTAGGCTAGTTTTAAAGTTGAAAATCGAAAAGTTGCACACGTGGGGACACGCCCAAATTGATAGAAAATTGCTAAAATCACTGAAAATTGCTGTTTTCGTCATTTTCTGTCAACTTTAGAGTGCCGTTGTGATTACAGTTCTTCTTGAAATACTTTGAAACTTTGCATGCTTATCAAGCTATATATAAAACAATTACATGCAAAAATTTACGGCGATTCAATATTGGATGCGCATGCAACGTCCGCTCAAATTTTGCACGTGCGAAAGGTGAGAATTTTGCTCATTCGTGATTTCCAACAAATTCTGCTTTGCCACGACAGTTTAATGTCATTATATATGAATTTAATGTCAACTTGAATGAGTATTAAGTGGTATATTCAGTCAGTGATGGACCGATATGCTTACCTAAACACAAGGAAATGTTTTTAAAGGAAAAATTTCGAAATCGTTGAAACTTCCTCCTTATTATAATGAAGATATCAGTTTATATTTCGACTTTATAAAGTACCCTGACATTATAATCAAAAAGAGATGATATTTTACCAAAACCCATAATCATGGGTAGAGTGGACCGCTGCCAGTGTCTCTCTTTCCCAAACAAAAGGAAATGATATTAATTTGATTGACCGTTCTCAAATGCAAAATGATACCGAGAATGAAATCGGTCGCTCGCTTTTCCCATTCATTTACAATTGTAATAGATTAAGAAGAACTACCCAAAGGCAGCTGTACTCGGCAATAAAGATTCAATAAACTTCAGCTAATGCAATAAGTAATAACTACCACCCTTACCCCGAAATACTAGGTATCGACCCGAACGCAACCCAAAGAGATTTTTACAGCATCTGATTGACATGTAATCAATCGAAAATTATTACAATTCGTAAGCCGTGAATGAATGGGAAAAGCGAGCGACCGATTTCATTCTCGGTATCATTTTGCATTTGAGAACGGTCAATCAAATTAATATCATTTCCTTTTGTTTGGGAAAGAGAGACACTGGCAGCGGTCCACTCTACCCATGATTATGGGTTTTGGTAAAATATAATAATTAAAACACTACAAATCTATAACATTTCTTGAGCTAACCTCATGGTATTCAGAGGGCATTAATGTTATGTATTGTGAGCTGGTCCCAAGTCCACTAGTCCAGATGCCATCATTCATTGTAACTTTTCATAACCCTATCTAGTCAATAGTCATTAACTACTGATATAATTAATGCTTGGAGAAACTTAAAAGTAAAATTGTGTTTAGTTAGGCCACAAATTATTCTATAACATTAATCTGAAGTTCCGTTTTCTTTTCAGCTGCTGCTAATCAAGTTTCGGCGAGCGTTTACTTGGGAGTGGGAATAGTGCTCTTTATCACTGCTCTAGTGGCAGTCTTCGTCATGTACATCTTCTTCATCATTTGTGAGTATTGATTTCAGTTACACTTTCATTTCAAGGAGTTTATCTTTGAAGTCAGGGTACTTCAGGGAAGCGAAAAATTATCGCTCATATACCGCTTAATATTAGAAAAATGTATCGATCGAATTTAAGTTTAACAATACATTTGTTTCAGCAAGCGGGAAAAAGAAAAGAGCCGACTTGGGAATAATGAGATGTTTAATCTGTAAATGCTGTGAGCCTAAACAACCTCCAGTCGGTAAGTGAAAAACACTTTCACTTTCCCTTTCACTTTCTCCATGTTCCTTCCCGCTGCATACTTTAGAACTGAAAACTGTCAATATTTGTCTTTCAATGTTTTGTTTATTGCTGCTTTTTACAAAAAGTTATGGAAGCCCAGAGAATTACATATTACTACTTCGCTTAAATACCATTCTGAATGTAATATTTCTACATTCTACTAGCACTACAACAGCACGAAAACCCACTTAGAGGCAAAAGTTAAAAATTTCTATAACAAAGCTTCTCTTCTCACTTTTTAAAAAGTAAATTCTTTAGTTTAACAGTTTAATACATCCCGAAAGATCGAGAATTTCATACGAAACACTTAAGGGGAGTAAATGTAATTGGTTCCCCTTGAAATTCTCTTTTAAACTTAAGTTTAGTCGTTCAATTTCGAATTACAAATTTGCTATGTTAATTTTTGATACGCTTGTGATACTTGAATTCGACAAGGTATCCTCATTGAACTATCCTATCATAGCATAAAAAGCACATGTTATTAAATTATACGCTTGGAAATGTAACCTTTGTAGACACGACATATGATATTTGTTTCTGAATTCAGAGTCCACGGTGATAGAAATTATAACGATTATAATAAATCGTAATACGATAATAAATATATAATTTATATCAAACTTGGAAATGTCGGTTGTTAGGATAACAAAATGATCAAATACGAGCAGACGTAGCAAATTTAAAAAAATTACGGAGTGGAAAAACAGCTCCAGGAGGAAAATTTGGTGTACAAGAAATTTGGACGTGATAATTTGATCAGCTTCATTACATGAGATCATTTCTAAATTCAGCCCCAAATTTTGCCCATCGGTCTCCGTGCTGTTGTCTGTGCGTCATCACTACCTTGATGACGTCACTAACTTCTCGTCTCAGATCGCTACCAGCCACCCTACGACTACAAACTCCTATCGCTCGAGAAGTGCGCCACAAACTCCTTCCACGTTCCACTCTACTCTCACCCGCGCCTCGTCCCCGTGGAGCCTTCCGATTCCTTTGAACGTGCCCCGGTCTACAGAGAACTCGAACAAATGACCATCCAAACAAACTCAATGAGTAAATACGAGCAGTTGTTCTGAAATGGAGTCACGTGACTGATAACCTCAGTCAGATACGAGCTCTCTTTTTGTCCAGTTCTTATCAGATAGTTTCGTGGTGTGATCAGTAGAGAATCAGGGAGATATTTGACAGGATTGCTGATCTGCACGTGTAAGATGAGCATTGGATGGTACACGTACGTGAAGATGTGTGCACGTGTGCGCGCGACGCTTTGCCGTACAGAAAGTGAATATCCACAGAGTCGCAGGGACAGACAATATAGTTGTTGCAGACTCTGTGTACAGATCATACTGATAGCCAGAAAAATCTAAAGACTTTTCACACACGTGGGACGCGTCACAAGTCATCGCGTTATCTCTCACGCGTTAACTCTACAATGCTGCAACCAGGCGTGAGGTATCACGCATTTGCGTGAGGTATCACGCATTCGCACGTGAGCCTGCACGCGATACTCTTGAGACGATATTTATGCACCGCAGTGCTCCTGTGAGGCGCTGTGACGTTAGAAAGTGCATGTTATTTTCAGATTCCTTTTAAGTTATACTTTGACTCTTTCAATCCGAGGTAAACGTTTAATTTTAATTTTGAATTGATATAATTTGAACGTTATTTAATTTTAAGATAAATTTACTTTTGGGGCTTAATATTTGAATAACTATTATTTGAAGCTACGAACGGAAATTTAATTAAACTTTGAATTGTTCTGATACGTGGCTTGACTTTTTCCAATTACGGATTCTTCTCCGCAAATATGTTTAAACTTTTAAAAAGCTTGTTTTTGCAGAGCTGACAAAGCATTAAATATGTAAAGCGGATAACCAACACAATTACTAATAATACCACGTCGTTATGATGTTTAAAAAGTCTATAATCTTTAAAACTGTCTTGATAATTAGGTATTTTTCTTTTAGGAAAAGAGGAGTTAAAGTTTTAGGTTCGGTTTGTATTTTTATATGAATTTAAGAGAATAAATCTGCCGATTATACTTACTGTTAATGTATTAGGAATAGGTTTTTAGATTTGTAAAATGACTCAGCGTTGCAATGATACACTTGTACGTGTATTTGCCCC